TCAAATTGGATCTGACTGGTACAGGAGGTGATTGTTCCCCCCTCTTCAGCAGAGCATCTGGCGGATTTGAACCGCACACCTCTGGGATTGCAGTGCAGCCCCCTGCCACTAGGCCACCAGAGCTCGCCTGTTACATGTATTTTTACCAAAATAAAAAGCAAATAGTAAATAAACAAGCAGGAGCCACTTAGGCATACATCCTAAATGTCACTTTATCAAAGTGAAGAAAAATCATAAAAGAGCAGAGTACATTTGAATCCCTGACCCCAGAAATATTTTCTCTAAGAAATGAAAGCATACACATTTTCATTTGTTGTAGGGGGTTTTTTAGTACTGTCTGAAAAAGACAGACCTTTAAATGAATGGACAACATTTGAGATTTGTACATAGTGGATAAGGAGTTAAGGTGCCAACCAAGAGGTGTATAGTTTGGATCTACATGCTGCTGTATGAAAGAAAGATGGACACTCCCCTCCTCTGTGGTTTACACCCCTGAAAACTCTGGGGGGGAGGGGTGCGGCTCTGGTAGCCTAGTGGCAACTGCGCTGTAATCCCAATGCCACGCGCTTCAAATCCACCAGATGCTCAGCTGAAGAAGGAGGGCAAATCTCCTCCTGTCCCAGTCATAGCCAATTCAGGGCGTGGGGGGGTGGGGAACAACACCAATCCTCTCACTGGTCAGCTATGAGTCGGTTCCGACTCAATGATATGAGGTGAGGTTATGTTATACTGAAGGGTGGTATTCCAAAGCACTGCTGACTAACTGATTTTTATAGGAACGTGACGGAGACAGATATTTTAGCACTAGAACGCCGACTGCTGCAAACTATAGACATGATCATAAGCAAAAAGAAGAGGTAAGATCTTGGCACATTTTTAAAAGCCTTGTATTTTGCTATCATTTTACTATATGAAAATTGTAACTATAAAGTAGTTCTTGATCATTTTTATCATACAGTATCACAGTATCAAAGTCTGTCTTACATGATAGAAGGTTTTCAAATTTAACCCAATTTCCTGAATTTGTATTTTCTTTCTCTGAACTGTTGTTGTTCTTGTGTGTCATCGAGTCAGAACCAACTCCTGTCCAGTAGGATTGCTCAGAAGGAGACTGCCCATCTTTCTCCCATGGAGCAGCTGGTGGATTCAAACTACCTGTCGCTGGTTGGCAGTGCAACTCCTTACCCACCAGAGCTCCTGAACAAACTATCAGAATAACTTCTATATTTGAAGGTGTTCAACATGAAATGTTTCTCAAGTTTACATCCCATCATTTTTGCAACCTATTTATGTCTAACTTAGATATTTTCAATTTCCATTTCTCCAGCTACTTAAGATATCTTTGAGAAGTGCTTTGAAAATGTCTGTTTTCCAAGTGGCATTTCATAGCAGCTGTAGACCTGTGGACACATAACCTGGAACCGGGCTTTCTGAGTATAAGTCCTTGGTCTGCTGCTTACAGTTTGAATTTGTGCTGCTACTCTGTTTTTATGCCTTGGTTTCCTCATCTCTAAAATGGAGATAATTATCCTTAGTTAAGATATGTAGAGCCTTAGAACAGTAAATAATAGCATTGGGGATTTTAGGGAGGGGTTTTTTTTTTTGTTTCTAATATTTTTCTTTTTTTTTAATTGATTTGCTAACAATAATTCATGTACATAGTGTTTTATACAAACTTTCATTTACATTGTGGATGATAACATTGTTAAAATCAAATAATGGATTGAATACTTTCTGGAGGACAATTGCTGGTTGGTTTTAATGCTTTGTTTTCAATTCTTATTCCCTTAATTATTCTAGAAATCCTAGTTTATGCCACTCTACCAGTCAGTGTATTAGAGTGTGAAGAAAGGAGGATAATAAGCAAAATAAGTTAAATCCTGCCTTCATGAAATCTTTTGTCTATTTAGAGGCCTCTTCTTGCTAGGTGCTACTGAGCTGTGTACAACTTGTAGCCACTCTATGAACAACAGATCTGAGCCCTGTGCCATCCTCACAATCTCTGATGCACTCAGTCCCACCACTGCAGTCACTGTATCCATCCATCTGGCTGAGGGTCTTCCTTTCTTTGGCCATCCCACCACATTTCCAAGCATGATGTCCTTGTCCAAGGAATAGCTTCTCCTAGCAACATGCCAAGAGTGAGACAAAACTTTGTCATCTTTGCCTCTAATGAGCACTCTGGCTGCACTTTCTCCAATATTTATCTGTTCTTTTAGCAGTCCTTGGGATATTCAGTACTCTTCTCCAACACCACAGTTCCAAGGCATCAATTTTTTTTCTGTCATCCTTATTCATTGTATCATAAATGTGTTAAAATTTTTTCTCTTTTTTTGTCATCATTTTTCTGTAGTAAACCTATAGTGAAATTAGAGATGCTTTAATGTAAGAAATAATATATTATAATGATAAAGAGAGTCCAGAATAACCAACTAATTATTTGTTTCGTTCTGTAAGACTTTACTAAGGTGGTAGATGTAGACATATACTTGAACACATTTATTTATTTACATGTATTTTTGATCATGGACTTTCTATGTCATTTCTTTCTATAAATTTATATGAATGCAAATTTATAAATTAATAAGAACAGGGTGATTATTGGAAGGTACTTCTTTTTTTTCTTTTTTTTTTTATTATTAATTTCAATGAAAATTTACAGACTTTGGATTTCCATTCATTCACTGTTGCACTTTTCTCCCTGCCACCGCAACCCTCCCCCAATACACTTCCCTCTTGGAAAAGCAAAAGAAAAATTCTTTCATAGTTTTACAATCCCTCCTCCAGGTCCACTCCTTCGCTCTGGAATCCTGTCATGACAAAAATACCTAATCACATATCCCTTTTAAGCAGTTTTCTCCCTCATCTGTTTCAATGCAGTATACATTATTGAACCTATCTTTCTCAGTCTCCCCCCAACCCCGAGGTCAGTCTTGTTTTACAACAGTGGCACCATGCAGTATTTGTCCTTTTGTGACTGAGATACTTCACTCAGCATAATGTCCTCCAGGGTCACCCATTTTGAATAATATTGCATGAGTTCCTTGGTTTTGAATGCAGCATAGTATTCCATTGTGTGAATATAGCACAGCTGCTCTATCCATTTGTTTGTTGATGGGCACTTAGGTTGTTTCTAACTCCTTGCTATTGTGAACAAAGCCGCTATAAACATGGGTGTGCATATATCTGCTTGGGTGGCAGTTATGGTATCTTTGGGGTATATTCCCAGTAGTGGAATTGCTGGGTCAAATGGTATCTCTATTTACAACTTTTTGAGGAAGTGCCATACTGCCTTCCACAGTGGTTGCACTATTTTACACTCCCACCAACAGTGAATGAGGGTTCCAGTTTCTCCACAACCTCGCCAGCATTTGTTGCTTGCTTGTTCTGTTAAATTTTGCTATTCTGACTGGGGTGAGATAATGTCTCTTAGTTGTAACAATACTATTTTTATTCCCAAGAAGATTATTCCTTTTTCTGCACTGTTACCCATATAAAGAGATTAATATATTCCAGTGAATATATGAAGGTAAAGTCATGCCCCTGTCAAGTATGAATGTACACTTTTAACCTGTGTAGTCACTAGTCATAACAATTAGTTTTACTGTCCACCATAGTCCAGTACCCGTGTAGACCTTGTGTAGTTAAGAACAGTGATGATTTATGGTCCTGTGGTAGCATATTAAGAATTTTAGTAACCCCCAGAAGAATCTTGTCTTCTAACTTAATTAGCATAATCTTTTGCCCAGTGGAGCAGAACAAGTTAGACAGGTGACTTGACAATACTTGGACCTGTGGGATTCATAGACCCGTAAGTGCCATCAGGTCACTTCTGAGTCATAGCAATAGTGCCTTGGTACTTATCACAAGGTAGAAAAAATATTTTTGCAAGCATTGATCTTTTGGAGTTGTATCTAGAAAACCATCTTTTAATTTAACAGCAGAGGGCCCCAGTGAGATGATACCCAGGGAAAAGAACATCTGATATATACAGAAAGTTAATGGTTGAAATGGGAGAGAAAAGAGGTATTGTGTCTTCTCATTTGGAACACCAAATTGAAGATGAGGTTTAGAGTAGTAAGAAAATATTTACCAAAAACTAACTTCACTTAGGGTGAACATGCTATTGCTATTAGGTGACTTATTATATTCTTTTTTCCTTTTTTGGGGGGTGGGGCACATACCGGAGGAAATTTCCCCTCCTTCTTCAGCAGAGCATCTGGCGGATTCAAACTGCTCACCCTTGGGATTGCAGCACAACTTCTTGCCACTAACCACCAGAGCTCCCTGACTTATTATATTCTTTTCATTTCTGTTTTGTTTTCAGTTATCTTAGATGTTAAAGTCTTCACTTTGATAACACATGACAAAAATATAATCTCAAGTCATAAAAAAATACTACTCTCATTTTAAGATTGTGGTTTTGTGCAATTATGGCATGTATCATGAAAAGAATTGAACTAAAAAATTACTTTACAAACCACATTGTTATTAGCCACGAGGGAAATGACAAATTAAAACCACAATGATATACCACTACACCTGTATCAGAACAGCTAAAATAATAGTGGAATACCAAAAGCTGGCAAGGATGCAGGGAAACTAAAGTGAATGTTCATACATTGCTGGTGGGGATGTGAAATGTTACAGTCACTCTAGAACATAGTTTAGAATATAATTAAGTTGGTTTCAACTTGACAGTACATAACAGCAACTATGCATTTAGCCTTTAGTTAGTGTTTTCTTTTCTCTTCAAATGGTAATTTTAATAAAAAGAGCAATGATGTCAGTCTAGAGACTAAGGTGCACCTGATCTGAGTTAGGATCTTCTCAATTGTTTGCTGTCCATCTCAGAGCTAGACAGTGACAAGGGATGATAGGAGAAGGATGGATACACCTTCACCTTTGAATTGTGGTACTGGAGAAGGGTATTAAACATACTGTAGACTGTCAAGAGAACAAACAGGTCAGGTCCCAAGAGAGTGTAACCAGATTGCTCCTTGGAGGCAAGGATTTTAAAGCTCCATCTCACATATTTTGGCCATGTTGTCAGAAAAGACTAGTCCTTGGAGAAGGACATCATACTTGGTAGGGTAGAGGGTCAGTGCAAGAGAGAAAGACCCTGAATGAGATGGATTAACACAATGACTGTGGCAATAGGGGCAGGTGTGTCAAAGACAGTGAGGCTGGCTCAGGGTAGGAGAGAGGGTTCAGAGCTGTTCTTCATAGGGTCACTAAGCACCATAATCAGCAGCACACAACAGCAACAATAGTTGACCGTCCAGTGGGTTTTCAGAGGCACTAAATCACACAGGAGGAGATTGCCCATCTTTCTCCGACAGAGGAGCTAGTTGGAGGATTTGAACTACATGCCTTTGGTTTGGAGCTCCCTGATAAGTATTAGTATATGAATATATGTATAGCACTTTCTCGTTGATGTTAGTAATTTTTAGACATTATTTCTTTAATCTTAACAACCACTCAGAAATTAAGAAATGACAACTAATAAAACTGAGGTCACACAGCTTCTAAGTAGTAGAGCCGGTCCTCAAATTTATGACTCTAAATCCTGTACTTCTTCACATAGTCTGAATTGCTTCTTAGAGTGTAGTTTCCCCCTTGTTATAGAAATGTAATCAACATCCTTCCTTGAATAGCTCAGCAAATGGAAGGGCAGCTGTGACACTTTGAAACTGCTGGATTGTGAGGACCCAAGTTTCCTTGCTAAGGTTAGTCTTGGTTTTTGTTTTGTTTTGTTCATTTCAGGATGGCGATGGCACGGAGAACTATGTTCCAGAAAGGGGAGGTGCACAACAAGCCGTCAGGATTCTGGGGAATGATAAAGAGTGTTACCACTTCAGCGCCAGGAAGTGAAAGTATCCTTATCTGTCTGCTTAATTATTCTTTTTCTCAACTCTGGGCCAAGGGCAGAAGAAAAAGAAATAGGTTGGGATATTAAGGGAGCTGGCTGCGTCAGATTTCATGCCAGCCAGCACAAAGCTTAAGAAATGCAGTGTGTACAGAGTCATCTTTCCAACACCCACATAAAATTATAAGATTAAAAAGCATTATCTTTGAATGGCAGGGCTCCTAAAAAATCAGTCTTTTCATTTTACAGATGAGAAAACAGACCCAGAGAAGTTAGGTCATACAGTGGTTTGTGGCAAACCCGCAACCAGAACTGTGGTCTCTTCTTCATAGTTCTTTTCACTACACAATTAAATTTCAAAACTCTCAGAGAGGGGTGGGGGGAAACGGAAATACAGAGCATAATGGCTCTCTAAAGTGGTTGATTCGTATACAGGACGATCTTAACAATCAACTCTGCTTCTCTAGTGACTTTTTGTTTAGAAAATCAAGGAAATTAAATAATGTGGGGTTGTGGTGTGTTTTTTGTTTGGGTTTGTTTTTTTGGTTTTTTTATTTAATTTAGTTACTAAATCTCTTAATGGCCACCAGTCTATTAAACCAACATCTTACAAGATGAGTCATGAAAAAGCTACTCCTGCCTTCTTCCAAGACTGGGAAAATCCAGATTCTCTCTTGCTCTGTTGGAGGAGGAGAAGGATATATTTTTATTTTAAATTTTGACCCGTACCTTCTTATGGCAAATGCAGATACCAGTAAAAGCAGGGTAAGGCAGGATGATATGATTGAGGAAGAAGGAGCATTTATTTCAATTCTCCTATTTCTAGACATGGTGTTAAGGGCTAAAATGACCAATACAACATAGCCTCGCTCCCCAAGGAGCTCACTAGCTAAGACAAATAACCAGGTAGCTCTCTGAGAGTGGGTGGTCTGCAGCGTACCAAGAGCAGCTGCAACTGAGCAAGAAATTGTAAGCACTTGCTGATTTGAGTAATAATGAGGAGAGTCAAAGAGAAGAGGGAGATGTGAATTAAATACTCATATTTTAGAAGGCACTACGTCTTTATTATTTCTATTAAATTGGGGTTTACTAGGGTTTTTATTAAACTCATAAAAGCCAAAAGTTTGTTATTTGGTGAAGGTGAATCAGCAGTTGAGTCAAATGATTTAACCTTTTGGAACCCCAGTTTCCTGACTGGGGGTCCTCACTGAGTTTTTGGAAAGCAGCACAGCGTAATGGAAAGAGCAGGCCTTAGAGTGAGGCAGATCTGACTTGCATCACACCTTATAGCTGTGTAACTTTGAGCAATGGTTCAACTCTCTGAGCTTTGCTTTCCTTATCTGCAAAATGGATGATAGCATCTATTTTCAAGGGGTTATTGTGAAAATTAAAGAAGATAATGCCTATAAAGAATTAAAGAAGGTAATGTGTCTAAACCTAGCCCATGTTAGGACTCAATAAATGTTCCTTTCCTAACACTATTTATTCAGATAATATAGGAGAAAGCTATGCTAGTTTACAGCCAGTTATTACTGTATAACCATTCTTCTTCCATTTCTAACTTAATCTAGCTAGGTAAATAAAGCTAAAAAACAAATAGATAAACCTGTCTGTCTGAGCCACTTGAGCTGGTGAGAAATTGAGTGATGGGTATTTGGTGTTAGTGTTCTTGGCTTTTACGTGTATTAGGAGATTGGGAAGACTGTCCTGAAGTCCCACTGCTGTTTGTGAAATAGGAAATTGAAAATATCAGCAGATCCTGGATCCACTGTAGGAGAAAATAAAACCATATGCTTTCTGTGTTGCTTTTTCTTGAAACTTTAATGTGATATTAAACCTTGATGCCCGTTCTGTGCCAGATCTTACTCTTATTCAACAAGAAGTGGATGCTTTGGAAGAACTAAGCAGGCAGCTCTTTCTGGAAACAGCTGATCTGTATGCTACCAAGGTACAGAGCAAGGAAACAGAAATGGGTTTTTTTACCAACATGGTTGCAAGAGATTAAGACAAAATGACTTTTTAATGAACAAGCAATTCAAAAAACATCATGAAGCGTCAGTATCAACATACTCCATGTCATGGGTTCAGCCACTACTAGCAAAATCTTTAATGAATCACTCTAACAATATAAATTAAGACTTTTCATCATCTAGAAAGATCATTCACTCTACATCCTACTCACTAGGTTAAAGGTGGTAGCTCCTCTGAATACATTATATTTCTAAGCAAATAATATTGTAAGAGCAATCAATCCCTGTTTACTACCTTCTAGCACTATTTTTAAGGATACATACAAAGAAATAACCTAAGGGAAATTAATTGTTGTCTTTACATCTAAAATGCAGTTTACTTTATATATGCAAATGAATTTTCTCAAGTTGCAAACTATTTTAATCTTTTATGAGGGTAACTTCACACAGGTAACCAGTTGTTTGTTGTGTAACTTCACACAGGTAACCAGTTGTTTGTTGTGTACCATCCAGTCAGAGCTGACCCCTCCCAGAGGTTCCCAGAGGCAGTTGATTCCACAAAAGGAGAGTGCACATCTTTTCCCCACGGAGCAGCCAGTGGATTCAAACTGTGTGCTATTGGGATTGCAGCACAGCTTTGTGTCAGTCGGCCACCAAAGCTCCTAACAGCATAGGATTAGGGGTCAAATAGATAAGAGCCTACGTCATACCCTGTTAATCACCTGTATGACATTATTAGCACATTATTTTATCTCCCTAAGCCTCCATTTTCCCATTTGTGAAGTTAAGGTAATAAAGCATTTCATAAGGGTTGTTATGAGGATTAAAACAGGTAATGAACATAAGATGTGTTTATCCCAGTCTCTAGCTCAAAGTAAACTTTGAGAGAAAAATAAAATTTTTAAAATACCAAACACCACTACTGCCATTTTTATATTCCCTTACTATTAGTTAACTATTACTAGCATGTAAACTTTTTGACTCATGATTCTCAGTCAGATGAAAGAGTGGCTCATTGAGGCAGAAATACTTTTTGTTGAATATAAAATTACTTTTTGCTAAAACCAACTCTATTTTGTTTTGTTTCCCCTTAGGAAAGAATAGAATACTCCAAGACTTTCAAAGGGAAATACTTTAACTTTCTGGGTTATTTTTTCTCTATTTACTGTGTTTGGAAAATTTTTATGGTAAGTGTATTAAGTTTTTTGTTTCGTTTTGCTGTCAGGGTTAGATGCATCTTCCTGGCAGTGCCAGTTAGAAGGTAGCTTTCTGATACAGTGATCTAAATTCCAGATTCAATTAAGTCAATGGAGACTGATCTTTCATGTCTCTGAGCCTTGCTCTTCTCCCCTCTCCTTTTTAGATAACCTAGAATAGAGAAGTTGCATTTTTATTCTGTCAGAAATTGTTAGTAAGGTCTTAGTTTATGAAATCCGTGAAATGAGTGTGAAAGTTGCTTTTATACTCAGCTTTCCATATGAGTGTATGTAGCCTTAACTCCTACCTACATTTGAAAATAGAAACTACTTTTCCTTTTTAATAATATGTATACTTAAAAATCAAGCACAAAATCAATCTAAAATATATTTCCTTAGCTAAACTCATCTTCTATGCTTATAGATGTTATTCTTTTATAACTTTTCTTCAGTGTTTTATTCTCTGTATGCATTTTAGATCCACTACTTGTCTTTACTTATGACTCATCTACAGCTATCAGTGGTTTTCCATTTGAGTGTTTGACCTACTGGTTTGATGGGCTTTTCTGTTTGGGCTGTTTACACAGGGAAGGAATGTTGTCAGCTTATTAGTTCATTCTGATCAGTGTACATGGCATTAGTTGATTTTGATAAATGTATATATTTTGGATTTAGTGAATATAATCTTATAATAAATGGATACCAGTACTCACTAAGATGATACTCATTCTTGGCATGTTCAGTGGGAAAGAGTAAATGAAAATTGTGAGTGCAAATAACCAACCCACTAAAAGTTTTTTTGTTGAGATTCAACCTTCAGGGAAACTTCTTTTAATAATTTTGACATACAACAAATTACTCATACTTAAACTGTAGTTTGATGGGTTTTAGCATATGCCACTATAACAGCTATCCTCATAATCACAATAAAGAGTTCATCCATCACTTCTAAATGTTTTCTCATGCCCTTTTGTAATGCCTCTCTCATACCCTCAAAAGTTCCCAGCAACCACAAATGAGATACTTTCTACTCTTATGTATTAGTTGGTACTTTCCAGAATTTTATATAAATGGAATCAATCTTATATACTCTTCTTCTGTCTAGCTTTTTTACTCAGTGTAATTCTTTCAAATTTCATCCATATTATTGTACATATCAATAGTCTATTCTTTTTTATTGCTAAATCATATTTCCTTGTATGGATATATCACAGTTTATCAGTTTGCCTGTTGATGTACATTTGGGTTGTTTCCAACTTGAGAATATTACAAATAAAACTGCTATGAACTTTTGTTTTCAAGTCTGTATATATGGGTTTATGGTGTATTTTTCCTTGGTTAAGCACTGAGAGAGGGGTTGAGCAGCTCTTTCATATGGAAAGTGATTGTTTAACTTTTTAAGAAATAGCCCAAGTTTTTTCCAAATGGATTGAATTATTTTACGTTCCCATCTACAGTCTTCTTTGCTCTACATCCTCCCCAACACTTTTATGATTCCCTTTAATTTTAGATACTTTAATATGTAGAGGCTAACAGATAATATTGAATTTTAGTTTTATAATGATGTTGAGTATCTTCTCATGTGCTTATTTATTTGCCTTCTGTAGCTCTCTGGTAACAATGTCTGTTTAAATCTTATAGCAGTCACTTGATTGTTTTCTTTTTTTTCTCACTAGTTTATTTACAAAATTCTAATACAAATTCCAATAAATTCTTTCAATTTCCCTCACCTCCCCCCATCAAATTGTACAATCCAATGATTAATCCCCTCTTCCCCCTGTACATCACATCCCTCTGCTTCCAACCTCTCCCACCCCTCATGGATCTTT